GCAGCTGAATCCAACCAGCTAGATAGAGAGAAAACACTCCTTATATACCAACATATGTTAGATATGGTCAAATAATATACTATCTCTGCTGGACCCAGAGAGGCCCAGAGAGGGTCATCACTCAGCCATAAGAAAAGATGAAATACTGCCATTTGCAGCAACATAAATGGATCTCTAGATAATCATGCTAAGTGAAATATGTCAGAAAAAGTTGAGAACCGTACAATTTCACTCATATATGGGATATAAAACCGAAAGCAACAAACGAACAATGGACATGGACAACAGTTTAGCAATTACCAAAAAAAAATGGGGGAAGGGGCAGGTTGATAAGGGTAAAATATATGATGACAGAAGGAAATTTAACTTTGTCTGATGAACACACAATGCAATATACACATTACGTATTATTGAATTATACACTTGAAACCTATATAATTTTATTAACCAATGTCACCTCAATAAATTTAATAAAATAAAAAAATAAAGAATAATAAAAGCACAAAAAAGGATTATTCCCTATGCTCTCTCATTGTATCTCAGTGAGACAGAGCCTTTTGAAATGTCTTAAAGTAAGAAGTATTGCATTTGGTACTATTAACAAAATTACTAATTGTAATAAATTAGTTTTGCATAATTCTTTAGAGAAAAATTTCACATACACACATTTGTATGTACTATACTCTATATGGCAAACATATGAGGAAATACGCAAATAAGGTTAAGCGACATATTCAAAATTACAAATTTTGCACTTCTTATGTGTAATCTAGTATCTTGACCTAGTTTAATGATTGCCCTCAAGCCATGTTTTTATTTATATTATTTGCATCTTATCAAAATGAAATCATACTCTTGGGGAGCAAGTCGTGATGATCACAGTTTTGTTGCTTTAACAGAAACTTCATTGTTTATGAAAAAATATTGTAAAGAAATTTGGTGGTTTCAAAAAGAACTAGCATATTCCATTAACGTGCAATAACCGATGTCTTCCAGACTAATGAATGTGTCTGGCAGAGAAACCACCAACTCTGTGAGCCACTTTATCCTCACAGGCTTTTCCTCAAGCCCAAAAATGCAGCTCCTCTACTTTGGGATCTTCACAGCAACCTATACCTTGACCTTGATGGGGAATGCAGCCATTGCCTGTGCCGTGTGGTGGGACCGGCACCTTCACACTCCAATGTACATTTTCTTAGGGAATTTCTCTCTCCTGGAAATATGCTATGTCACCACGACCACCCCTAACATGCTGGCCAACTTCCTCTCCACAAGCAAGTCCATCTCTTTTGTGAGTTGTTTCACCCAGTTTTACTTCTTCTTCTCTTTTGGGTGTGATGAGGGCTTCTTCCTTTGCATCATGGCCTTCGACAGGTACCTTGCCATCTGCCGTCCTCTGCATTACCCATGTATCATGACTAAACAGCTGTACACTGGCCTCATCATCTTCGGATGGTCATGTGGGTTCATCCTTTTCCTGACCCCAGTTGTTCTCATTTCACAGTTGCCCTATTGTGGCCCAAACACCATCGACCATTTTATGTGTGATCCTTTCCCACTGATGATGCTGTCCTGTTCTAAAGACACCACTACACAGTTCGTTTACTTTACTTTCAATGCTGTTTTCATGATTGGCACATTTCTCTTTATCCTTTGTTCCTATGCTCTGGTGATTCTGGCTGTGCTACGAATGCCCTCAGCTGCAAGCAAACACAAGGCTTTCTCCACTTGTACTTCTCATCTGGCTATTGTGTTCTTATTTTTTGGCTCTGTTATAGTGATATATGTTAGTCCTGGATCAGGACGCCCAGTGGAAATGCAGAAAATTGTGGCTTTGTTTTATTCTGTGATAACACCTCTCTGCAATCCTCTAATTTATAGCCTCAGAAACAAGGAGATGAAGACTGCCCTAAAGAAAGTCTTTGGGACTAAAATACCTGTTCATAAAACAAGTCAGATGTCATAGTAAATAAAGTTTCCTCATAACTTATCTTAATAAGATATAAACAAGATAGTTTTCTAGAGAGTTCAATAATTTTGGTTAGGGAACTGTTACAATAAATCTCATTATCATCTTAAATATCATTCACTACATGATGTGTTAGTCTTATTGAAGAAATAAAATTGTCTTAAGAACATTGAACTCTGTATATACTGAATTTCTAAAAGGAAGTATTTTATAATTGTATTTTATAATTGTATTGGCTTTGTATTTTATAATTGGAGCAACATATAAGGATGTAACATAGGTCATAAACTTGTTCGGGGAATAACACTATAAACAAAGTCTCCTCTACTGATAATTATTGACTAAAAGGAAGGATTTCTGCATGAAATAAATATAGCCTTGCAGGTGTGACTTTATTACTCTACCTCCAAAGAAGGATACATGTTTTAACTCTAAGGATTTTAAAGAAACAAACTAATAGCTTTAGCTGGTTATTAAGTACAGCTGTCTCTTGGTATCCACAGGGAATTGATTTTAGGGCCCACCTTTCCCCCAGCACCCATTCCCTGTGCAGATACCAAAATTCATGGATGTTCAAGTCCCTTATATAAAATGGTGTAGCATTTGCATATAACCTATACACATCCTCTCAAATACTTTAATTCATCTCTAGATTACTTACACAGTCATGTACCTCATATCATTTCAGCCAACAATAAACTGCATATATGATGGTGGTCCCATAAGATCATAATGGAGGTTTTCTACCAGGGTTGGGGTTGAATCCACAAGTGTGAAATCTGTAGATAGAACGGGCTGACTGTATTTATTGAAAAAAAAAATCCATGTAATAATGGACTCATGCAGTATAAACCCATGTTCTTCAAAGGTCAACTATACCAGGTAGAGGTGTCTGCCTAAATGATCTCTAGAAAGGGCATGCAAATCGAAACTCTCACCAACAAACCATGAGCGAAAAATGAGAAAATTCTGAGTGAAATGGGTCTGACAGAGAAAGATAAATACCATATGATTTCACTTATATGTGGAATCTAAGGAACAAAAAGAACAAACTAATCAAAAACAGACTTACAAATGTAGTGGACAATTTGGTGACGGACAGAGTGGAGGGTAGTTTGGGGTGCTGGGAGAATGTAATGAAGTTATAAGAAGTACTAATTGGTAGTTGATAGATGGTCACAGGGATGGGGAGCACGACATAGGGAATGCAGTTAGCATTAATATATTGGCTAGGTGGAAAACCAGAGAGAAGGAGTAATTAGGGTGATAGTTTTATAAACTATATAAATGTCTAACCAATGCACTGTATACTTGAAACTAATAGAAATAAATAAATTTCTTTTTAAAAAAATAAAGAAAAATTGAGATAATTTATTGCAGTAGTCTACAAGAAATGTCAAAGGAAGTGCTTCAAGCAGAGGAATATAATGTCATGGAGAGGCTTTGATTCATGCAAATAAATGAAGAGCACAGGAAATGGCAAATATAAAGATTTTTATATAATTTTACCTGGGTCCTGACACTAGAATGAAATATAAGAAATGTCAAATTGGTTTAGTGACAGAAACTTATCTCTATCATTGGCAACTGGATCAGGTGCCCCAGAACCTTTCGTATAACAGATTTGTTCTTCTCCAGAATCATGCAGCTATAGTTTGACAATCAGAAATAAATTGCAGTGAAATGAAGAAAATGATTCTTGGGAGCTGAGGACTGAAAACTCTCTAAGTATGTGGCACAGACAATGGATGCAGGTTGAGTTTGCAGGTTAGAACATCAAGGATCACAGTGAAGCTCCATACAATCAGAAGGCATTCATTCAACCAATAGGCAGTTGACCATGCAAAGGGGTTTCAGAGGAATTCCCCACAAATAGATTCTTGTTTAAAAAACAATCATATGTGTTACAGAGAAGAGGAAAATTTGGACACAGAGACACCCAGAGAAATGACTATGTGACTACAAAGGCAGAGAATTGGAGTCATGCAGTTACAAGCCAAGGAATGATGAAGATCGAAGGCCACCGCCAGAAGCAAGGAAGACGCAAGGAAGGATTCTACACAGAATGACAGAGGGAGCATGGCCCTGAGGACAACTCGATATTGGACTTCTAGCCTCCAGAACCATGAAAGTATAAATTTCTGTTGTTTTAAGCGACCCAGTTTGTGGTAATTTGTGCTAGCAGTCCTAGGAAACTAATATACTACCTAACTTACATAACATTACAAGTTGAAAAATGATCATATTTATAAAAAATGTTCTGACATCAATTATATCAGGATAAATTGCTATAGAAACATAAAGATTAATTTGACTTTTAAAATCTCAGGATATATTTAAAATGAACTCTAAAGAGATGTTAGGAAAAGGCTAAATTTAAAACTGTTAGAAATGCTTTTTATTATTAAAAAATAGTTTAGAACAGATTTTAGTCTTAAGAAATTATCTCTAGTAAAAGCCTGAAAATTCAACAGTTTATAAACATTCTTCAACAGTTAAAAAAGATTATAATGAAGCTGAAAAATACCTATCGCCTAGTGACATCGTAGCCATCACAATGTTGTAGCACAACACATTACTCATGTTTATGGTGATCCTGGTGTAAACAAATCTACTGTGCTGCCAGTCATATAAAAGGATAGCACACGTAATTATGCAAGTACATAATATTTGATAATGATAATAATCATTTCTTTAGAGTATACTCTTTTTACTTATAAAAAATTTTGCCGTAAAAAAGTATACTGTGTTATTCTGGCAGCAGCCTCATACATGTCATGTTTACCATGACTCTTGATTGAACCATTTTCTCTTGTGGTTGATTTAATCTAGTGTTGTTTTGTATAGTAATATGCTGTACAGGCTTGTAGCCTGGGAGCAATAGGTTATAACATATAGTCTAGGTGTGTAGTAGGCTAGACTATCTAGGTTTGTGTAAGTGCGCTCTATGATGTTCACACAACAACAAAATTGCCTAATGATGCATTTCTCAGGATGTATCCCATCATTAAGTGGCACATGACTGTAATACCTAATAGAATGTAAATGCTATGTAAATCGTTTTTATACTGTATTGTTTAGAAAATAATGACAAGAAAAAAATCTGTACTTGTTCAGTACAGATGTCATGGCCTAACTATATAGTACATGCCAGCAACAACATAGCTTTTTCTCCCAAATATTTTTGATCCATGATTGGTTGAATTCACAGATACTGAACCTGCAGCTACAGAGGGCTGACATTAGTAGCTGTATTAAATAGTTTCATGTGAATGTTAACTCATACTGACAGTGTCCCAAGTGAAAAGCACCACATATCTTTCCACTTTCTACTTCAGGGGTTCTCAGAAGCTACCAGAGCCCCCATAGTCAATGTTAGGTGCAGCCTTGAAGTATTATGGGATCAGTACAGGTGGATGAATACATCAAACATTTATCTTTCTGGGAGACATTCCCAATACATTTCAGAGACTCTGGAATCAAGTCTCCTGCTGCAGTGGCTTTTCCTCCTCTCCCGGTTACTCCCTCTGCTCCTCCTTCCTTTCTAAGGTAACCTTTCATATGTAACAACTACATCCAAGTCCTAGTCTCTGGCTCTGCTTTCAGGAGAGCTCATATGAACACCAATGATAATATAAATGGCTCTAGAAATCCAGCCCTCAGTATGAGATCCTGGAAAGATAGCAGCAAAGATCCCATTGCAGGGAATAAGTCAGGTAGTGATAATCCCAGTATAGAAGACCATTACATTTTCTATGACTTTAACCTGTGACAAATTAGGAGGAGGCACAGGCAGAAGGGAAAGCACTATATATACAATAGCTCTAGCACTACAATGAATGGAGACAATGATAATTATAGAAGCTGTAGAATTGGGTGAATTATTTCCTTGACATGTTTAAGAAAGAATGATAAATTCAATCAACCATTTATCAAGTCGGGGCATATCTCCTCTATAATAAAAGACAAGATGTTGTATTTTGTAACCTCTGCTACTAGGAGACACAGGACTTGGTGGGGTTTGTGATATTTAGGAGGCAGATAAAACCAAATTTGTTGAATACATCTCTGACACATTTTGTCGAATACTGCTCTGTTACATTTATTAAGTGATTGACTTGAAAGACTGCTAATTTTGAGTAGGACCCAGAGCAAAAAGAAACCTCTACAATAGGTTCAGGCTGCTGTTCATATTTCCCTGCTGTTCAGGCTATATAGTACAATGCGATAAGCATCGTTAGACTTGTAGAGCATTCCCCTAGACTCCTAGAACAAAGCCATTCTTTCTATTGCATAGAACTGCTCATTGTTTGAAAAACATATCCTGATATCCATTTGGCGGGGGCCTGGGTGGGGGGCAGGGGACTGAGCACCCTACAATGGGAAATCAAGTGGTTAAGCAAACAGAACTTCCCATACAAGATGGATACTGTCACATCCACAAGTCATAAATTCAGTCAAGAGCAGAAGCAAGTCATGATGCATTAGAAATGATAAATACATGAATGTGTCCAGGCAGGTTCAGAGGACACATCACCTATCTCTACTATACCAACACCTCTTCCTCAGTTTACACCTATGGCCTCATCAGAGGTTCACAACAACCATCCCAATTTATGTATGTGTTGATTCAATGTATTTATGTGAGCCGACAATAGATGGTTGCTGCATTCAACCTAACTCAGAGGTTGACTCTAAATGATGATGGTGAAGTCAAGTTCTTCCAGTATACCGATGAAAGCAGTAAACTTAATCGTCTAGTTTTATGATGGAGAAAAAAGCCTAAGGTAAGAATATACATGGGATCTAAGGCTGTAGTAAATGGCTTTGCTAGTCAGTCAAGGATCTGGAAGAAGTAAGATTGGAAAATTAAAAAAGATGGGAAGGAGGCATGTGGATGGAACTGTGGGAGTGGAAACAAAATGTACAAATCTTGGTGTTTCATATCAATGCCCACTACAGTAGATGAACTTGAGAGCCAAGTGAATAGAATGATT